TTTCCTTTCCTTTCCTTTCCTTTCCTTTCCTTTCCTTTCCTTTCCTTTCCTTTCCTTTCCTTTCCTTTCCTTTCCTTTCCTTCTCTCAAAGCCACTTGCACTGTCTGGGCCATGAATTATTGATCAGGAGCTCTCTGCTCTGCTGGAGGAGTGAAACTCGCAGCTTTTCTGTTGTTTTTTTTTTTTTTTCCTGCACTGACCCTGCCCAGCTCTCCCTCTACCCCTAATCACCATGCCCTGTTTCCTCCAGTGCATTTTCGGGTGATTAATAAATCTGTTAAAGGAATCTTTATGGTTCAAAGAGGAGGGGGAGATGCTGAAATCAAAGTTCTCTCTGAATCCTTCAGAGAGAGATCAGAGTGCAGGGATTGAATTAAAACCTTTGGATGAAGAATATCAAGCCACTCACACATAAGGTATAAAATAAGCAAGTAAATAAATAAGTTTGGCTCAGTTAGGATAAGTTTGAAGTGTTTTAGCCCCAGGCTGAGCTGGGGTCTGGCTGCCCCTCCTCATTTTGGGGGTGGATCCAGTCCCAGCTGCCCGAGGGTGGGACCCAAGCCCAGCCCTTCCCTCCTTACCCCGATTTTAAAGAAGGAATTTTGGGTGTCCCGGCCCCTGAGGCAGCATAATTGGCTCTTCCTCCCCTCACAGCTTTCAGGGAGACAAAGCAAATGCGATTCGGTGAATTCATTGAATTTCTCCTCTGGTTTATTCGGTGTGAAAACATCCCGAGTTGATGGGGGAGGAACGGTTCTTGCTTTGCTCCCCTCCTAAATCTTTTATTGAACCTTTTTTTATTGAACCTTTTTTATTTAACCTATTTTATTGAACCCCTTTGCTCCAGCACACCTTTCCCAAAGTGCTGTAAATCCCCATCTGGGGATTTAAGCCTGGCTTTTTCCAGAGGGGTGGGGAAGGATTTTTTTTTTTTTTTTTCTGCTCCCTGCGATGAGTTGATGTTTTTTTTTGTCAGGTGGAAACTTCCCCTTCTCAGGTACAGTTGGATTTTATTTTTCGAGGGAGAGCAGCAGAGCCCAGAGCTGCTGAGGTTTTTATGTTTTCATCTCCTTTTAGCTGCAGACAATAACAGTGCAAATGGTTTTGGGAATTGAAAATTTCCATTAGGCTTGGTTGTTATTTTTTTTTTCCCTCTCTCTGGGGAAATGGCATTAACAACCAACAACACATTAATTCTTTTATTATCTTTTCTGATTTTTTTTTTCCCTTTTCTTTTTACTGACATAAACTCGGTGTTTTCACAAAATTTCCCCCCCAGCTTTCCAAGAAATCTGCTTTTCCCCAGGGCTGGGCAGTGCCTGCCTGGGCTCTGGGGACCCTCTGGGTGTTTTCAAAGCCTAAGGGGCACCGAGTGAAATATTTCAGTTTAATCACTGTTCAATCATTGACCCTTCCTTCACATTTACATCATTTAAATCGCTAAAGATGTGAAAACAAAGGGAAAATCCCAAAGCAGCAGCTGCCTTGTTGTGCCTGGGGATGGATGGGGGGGTGAGGAGCAGGGATGGGAAATGTGGAAAATTGGAAATATGGAAATAATGTAGAAATCTGCATTTCTGCCTGGGGCTGGAAATTCGATTTTAGCTGCATGTCAGAGATTTGGGGTGTGCTCACACTCAGAGCTGCGACCCTGCCTTTTTGTTGTGTTTTTTTTTTTTAAAGAATTGAGTAGTTCTTAGTTGTTGTAAAGTTATTTATTGTAAATATTTTTCGTTTTTTGAAAGGTAAAAGAGTCACAAGCGTTCAAGTCCATGCTAAAAGTTTTTGGCATAGAGTTCTAAATAGAAATTAAGTTTTAATTGGAATTAAAAGCTGTTCTTGTCGAGGTCCCAAGGCAGCTCCTGTTTTCTTTGGGTGATGAGGAGAGAAGAAAAGTGAGAGAGCAGGAACAAAAGTGAATATTTCCCCCACGTGTATATATATCTATATTCTATATATCTATATAATATATATAAAATATATAGAAATATTATATTAATTATAGTATATAATTATAATTATCCTATGTAATGCTACATGATATATAATATATAACATAATATAATTTATATTTATTATATTTATTATAATATTAATATACTATATAAAATATAATAGTAATTATAATTA